TTTGTTGTTGAAACAAAAATGAAAATTAAAAAATTAACTCTGGTCAATTGTTGTTGTTGTTGTCGCTGTTAATTGACATGTTTATTTTCACTTCTGGTTGTGGACGACGACGACGATAATAACAACAATCTTTGACCAAAAAGGAAAAAATGAAATGAAATGTAATGTCTTTCAGTTTTGTTTTTCGTATCCTCATCATTATTATTATTTCAGAAAAAAAAATTTTTAATCATTGTTTGACTGAAAAAAATGACAATATAAAAAAAGTGAATGAATGAATGAAAAAAAAACTGAAAATTTCAAAATAGCATTTTCCCATATATTATCATAATGTGTTTTTTTTGAAATTTTCATAAATCGTAAACGTATGTTATATAATCCGAAATGATGATGATTAGATTTTTGTTGGACAACTTAACAAAAAAAAAACAACAAATTTTCCAAAAATGAAAAATCTAGAACAAAACACCTATCAAATTTAAATATAACCAATAATAATAATAATAATGATTATCAATGCCATTATTATTAATCATTGATTGAATGATTAAATTGATGTACAACCTGTTGATCAGGTCAATAATGTTGTTGTTGTTGTTTTTTTTTTGTTTTCCTTCGAATCGACAAATTAATCGATACATTTTAAATTGGAAATTTTATGTGTTGAAAAACAATGGGAGATTTTTTTTCGGTTATGGGCTTGTTGTTTGTTGTTGTTTCATCATTCTATTCGCTTTCATTACAAATCAACAATTACAAAAAGAGAAAAATAAACTAATTTCAGCATATATAAATGATATGAGAACAACAACAACACACTCAAAGATGATCGACACTAATCGACATCAATTACCGCGAAAATCATTGTATGAGGTGATAATCATCATCAATTTTTTTTATTATCATCAAGCTTGTTTAAAAATCATACATTAATGAGAGAAAGAGAATGAGATAGTGAAAGAGACAATAGAATCATTTCATTGAAAATCGAACGGATTCGTTTTCACCAAAATATAAAGAGAAATATAAATCGTTGATAATCTTCGTATTGTGTATAATCTTTGAAAAAATGAGGAAAAATTGCACTTTTTTTCGTATTCAATTCCATTACTTACTCTCTATCTCTCATTCGCTTTCCAAAAAAAAAAACATTGAGAAAACAATTTCTCTGATCTTCATTATAAAGATTCGATAAGTAAGTATTTTTTTCCCTCAAATTTTTTTTGAATACAAACAAAATTTCGTCTGATTTCAAATGAAAACATCCTTGATAATATTTTGTAAATAAAGTTTATACGAATAAAAAAGTTTTTGTTGTTCACTTTAAGGAAAGTAGAATTGAAATAAATCGGATGAAATTTTTTTCAAAAACAACAAAAACAACAATAACAAAGAATACAATGGCAAAAAGTTCTTACTACGTAACCCGATAATACATTATTATTATTATAAACTATCAACTATCATCATCATCATTATCGTTATCATATAATCATCATCATCATAATAGCCATGACCGATACAATTTTTTGTTTTTGTTTTGTTAGCCCTTTTCGATAATTAGAATGATAAAATGATACTTCATCGAAGCAAAATCGATGAATATTGATGTCAGTTAATGTTATTAAAATGATTTTTAGAAAAATATTTGAATGAAATTTGATTGAATCAAAAGCAAATGAAAAAAAAAGTATTCAACATGTGTATCGACTACTTTTTTTTAAATTTTTGATGGATGATGTTCATTCAGATAAAAATATTCCCTTCGGAAGAAGAAAAAACAATAAAAAAAATAATCAGGAGAAAATTTTGTCATCAACAGATTTAAACAGGGGAGAATTCCTTACAGAATGACCGACAATGAGAATTGAAAAATTTAAATTCATTTTATAATTCCTTTTTCTTGAGAATGTAGTGAACAAAAAAAACTACGATGAATGAATGAATGAATAAAGATAATTAACATCCTAATCACCTTAAAGGTTATTTTCCTGTTCTCTTTTAAAAATTGAAGAAATTTATGATGAAAAGAAAAAATTTAAAATGACAAAACCATTTATGATGACTATGAAATTGCCATAAAAATCATAATAATAAATCAACTAAGAATGGTAAAAAAAATTTCTTCTTTTTGATTTCAATCTACCAGCCACACATGTACATTTCATTCATTAATTTAAGTTATTTAAATTTTAAATACACACCAAATAACACATATAGGGTGTACCAATTTTACTTTTTTTTCCCCTCGATTTGTTTGTTCAATTTTATTTCACATATCATGATCGTAATAAAGACCGGATATATAATCTACACGTGAATACAAAGACCAAGAAAAATGCCAACAACTAAGTACATCTTTTTTGTGTACTACCACCACCAGCACTATCATCAACATTATAATGAATAATGAAAGATGAAACTTTGATTTCTTACATGTATCACACACACACGTTACAAGAATTTTATAATCAAGAAAAAGAAAGAAAATCAAATGTACTCCATCATCACCGACAATAATAACAATGGATTTTTTTTTTGTTCATTGGATGATAATGAATGAAATGAACAACCATTCAGTCAAACTAACATTCACCCAACAAGAACAACAACGCCAAATATTAAACCGACATCAAAATGATAATAAATTTTTTTTTTTTTTTGAAAATAACAAATACGAACACAGGCGATTGTCTCGAACTTATTTCATTCATTCATTCATTCACTCGGTAGGCGGTAGAATTGAACATAAGAAATGAAATAAAAAACTAAAGTAAATGGACAAAATGTATAGCATGCCATCATCATTCTTATGTGATGATAAAATATTACTACCATTGCTATAAATTTAATGTTTTATACTTTAAGAACTTGATTCTAATTCTTGTTTTGTTGTTGTATCTCTTATCTTTAACACTTGTATAATGTGGTGGTGGTGGTGGTGCTTTTGAATGGTGGAATGTTCGTTTGAATAATGGTAGCATCGGTCAAAGGTGATTCAGTATGTTTTTTGTTTTGTTTGTGTGTTTAATAAAAGAATGGTCTGTATACTGACCATGAAGAAAAAAAAGTCAATGAAAAAAAATGACAAGTAAATAAGTAGTTGTTGGTAGGTACAACAGGAGTTTAATCAAGTTCAGATCGGTCAGTCAAAGAATTGATTTTTTTTTCTCGCTTGTCCGATTTGGTTTGTTCGGATACTAAAAAAAATTAATTAGATCCGCAATATGATGATGATAGTGGTGATGGTGGTGGCTTTTTTTCGACATTTTTTTCAATAATGATGAAGCAAGAATGTAGTAGATTTTTTGTTTTTGTTGTTTGTTGAAGAAAAAAAAACTTAACATCCATAAAAAATTAAGAATTTTTGTTGCTGTTGTTTTGTTTTGTACGGACAAAATAAAATGAAAAATTTATCCCTAATAAATTGTTTTGAAAAATGTAATGAAAAAGAAAGATTACGTAATGAATTTAAAAATGATTTTTTTTTTGTTATCATCACATATGAATAATGTAAATACACACACATAGAAACAGACAAAGATATCTCTCTCTATATATAAACAGAAATTATTTATTTTTTTTTAATAGTCCAACCTTATTATGAAATCTAATTACCTGAATGTAGGGGTAGTAAAAAAAATAAGATAAAAAGAAATGAATGCAAATCTTTCTTTGGTTTAAAATCTAAATCATCACCATTTAGGATTTATTTATTAGATTTTCTTTTTCTTTTTTTATTCATTTTTTTACAGCAGGGAATCTAAAAGAGAATATCCCAAACAGGTGCGTGTATTTTGTATGTGTTAACAAATAAATCCAGCCAAAATCAAGGTCTAAAATGCTTCATCATCATCATCATCGTGTCCCAAATTTTTCATCATACCTGTATTGTTGCTTCTGTCTATATTTTGTTGATAACAATGTTTAAGAAGAAGAAAATCTAGAACATCAAGATCAAGGGTCGCCTAAATGACGGATGATGGAGCCAAATTGTTCACCACATCATCATCATCATTTACAAAAGCAATTGATTGATAGACAAGACTTAGTTTAATAGTGAGAGTGAAAATAGTAACTTTCTCTTTATTTATTTTATTTGGGTTATGTGTAAGTTATGACTTTTCGGATCAAAAAGAAAAAAAATCGATTTCTCTGATTAGTATCGAGAGAGAGAGAGATGGGAAGGTTGGAAAAAAATATCGTAGATTTTCACGATTCCGAAGCGTTATGTTGTCTAGCCGATAAAGCAATGATTCTTTTTTTTATTATTTGGAAAAAATTTATCAGATTATAGATAAATAGATGATTTTGGAAAGATGTGCAAACAAGTTTGAAAGAATAAATAGATTATAATGTCTGTATAATAAGGTATAAAAACGCACATGGATGAAAATAGGAAACTGGTGGAAAAAAAACGAAAAATGCCTAAAAATATTTCAATTCTTCGAAAATTTGGAACAAAACAAAACAAAAAATTTCAAAATTTTATTGATCATCAAATTTTCTTTTGATTATGATCAGTATTAATAGAGTCTAAAAAGATAATGGAATGAACAAAAAGAAAGAAAAAAGAAAAAACTAAATGGCCATTTAAATTTTCATTCATAGGTCAATGGATGGTCAATTTTTTTTTTGCTCTCCTCATGATACAAATACAATTGATGATGATAATGATGATCGGCCCAAACAAACGGAGTTAATTATTGTCATCATTCGATGATGATAGGTCAATCAATACTTTCATTCATTCATTCATTCATTTATTCCACTTTTTTCAGCATCAAAATATTTGAATTTATTTGCCATTTTCATTTGTATGTTATCAGACAATATAATAATCATCATTATCATTGATTGATCAAATGAAAAAAAATGATATGGGAAAAAAATCAAAATAATTAATGCATCAATTGACAAACAAAAAAAATGAATGAATTTACCCAATTTTAGACAAATGAATAAAAGGGAAAAAATGATTATGTTTATCATCTACTTACCGTTGATAATGAAGATGATTGCTGTTGATGATGATGATTTCCATTGATTGAAGATGAATAGAATCTTTCGATAGAATCATTGATATTATCAACATTATTATGACTATGTTGATGATTGACCGACATTGTTGCTGTTGTTGCCTGTTTTTTCATATAATTCTTTTCAACATCATCAGACACTTTGAACAAATGACCTGATAATGCTTTGTTTTCACGAATTCGTACAGCCGACGAATCGATTTCTTCAGTAAGAAATTCAACCTATTAAAATGAAACAATCATGATGATGATGAAGATGATTTAAGAATAGAAAATCAATTAAGGGTATGAAAGGAAAAAAAATGAATGAATAAATTCATCATAATCAAAATTAAAATAGATTGGAATGTTCTTTATCATCAATTTTATTACTTACAGTCGAATGCATAGGCTTGTTTGGACAATGTACACGGACATGTGATGCATCAATCGAAACCGTTTTGTTACCAATATTGTTACTACTGTTATTCTCTTGTTGTTGTTGTTGATTTTCAAATTTTTCACGAACATTTTCAAATTTAAATTTACGTAATGCTTGAAAATAGTTTGGGCTTGTCGGTGTAATTGGCCCGATCATTTCATCAATGTCTTTACATTTGCTGATAAAATCACTCAATTCTTGCTGACATTGTTTTTCTAGTACATTCAAATCATTCTCATCGCTACTACTGTTATTCATCATTGTTTCACCATCATTGACCATTGTTGAATTACCTAAAGAATTGATTGAATCTTGACTTGAACTACTTGTATTACTACTTGTATAACTATTACTTGATTGATGTATCAATGAATGGCTTGTACTCTCTTTTAAACTGGTCACTTCATTTTGAATACAAGTAATAGCATTTTCAATTTCAATTTCATCATTTTTTTGTTCATCATCATCTTCGTGGTCAACATTGTTTATGTTTTGTTTTTTTTCATTCAAATTGTATACAACTTGATCATCATCATCATCATCATCATTATCATCAATGAAAGAATCACAACTAATCACTGTACGATTGGATTGGGCACTTGACAAACGTATTGTGAACGTATTGTTACATTCATCATCATCATCATCATGCTCATAATTTTCCTCTGCATCTTCATACGTGTCTTCTTCGTTTTCACTATTATCATTTGTTGTTGTTATTGTAGTTAAGTTAGTTTTATTCATATTTATTCGGTCGGCTACATCATAATCTTTGTCTGTTGTTGACATTGAGGACACGGATGTTGTTGCTGATGATGATGACGATGCCGATGTTGATGATGATGATGATGATGAACGAGTTTTATCTTTTGAATTGTTGGTTAAATTTCTTAAACAGGAGGATAATGGTTCAGCCGATGCACTTCGTTCCAATGCATTATTATCTAATTTAATAATGGTCAACAAATTTATATTTTCATAGCTTCCTGAATGTTGTGATTGGATAGTTGAAATAGTTGACGATGATAAAGGAATTTGTTGTTGTTGTGGTTGTTGTATAATCTCACTATTATTATTATTATCATCATCATTATAATCACTGGTTGAAATTACACAGTTTTTTCTTGAATTCACAACACTATCATTCGAACTAAAACTATTTAGTTCTGAACTATCATCATCATCATCATACGATTCATTGATCGACGAACTAATCGGCTGAATATCATTATTGAAAGTTGACGATGATGATTCCTGATTAATGTTTTGACAACTTTTCTTGGCAACAATCAATTGTGGAGAAACAGATCGATGATTGATGAGAATCGATGTCGATAATGATTTATCTAAATCTTGTACACTACCATTTGGCAATAATTGTCCATTTTTAAAATCATTTGATGAACTTTTTTCTACTAAAGAATTGGGTTTTTTTCTTTCATTCATCAACAAAGATGATGATGTCCTATATTGGCTTGTATTATTCCTGTTTAACGATGATCGTGCTATTACAGGTGCTGATGCAAAACGATTTGTCGTTCTGATCGTATTGCACATCACATGAGAATAACGGTTGTTGTTGTTGTTGTTGTTGTTGTTGTTTTTGTTGATCGTATTAATTAACAAAGACGATGATGATGATGAAGATGGTGATGAGAAACAAGAATATTCTTTCTGTTGACTAATGCCAGTTGGCCTGGAACAAATTCCGTCTGTATTGTCATATTTTGCTTTTGAATAAGATGATGTTGTTGATGTTGATGAACATGATGAAGACGACAGTTCATTCAAAGAATTTGTATCTGAATCTTCATCATTACTATTCATCAGTGTTGCCTGTGTTGCTTGATGACATTTTTGAATGCCAAAAATACATTTTTTAGGTCGATTCACAAAGATTCGTTCAATACTACAAATAGAACATCGACTTTGATGAACTTTTTGTTCATCGCTATGATCGGAGCCTCTTCCATCATCAGGATTGCTGTTGTCGTCTTTTTCCATGATGATACTGTCACCATTATTCTTTGCGTCGGTGTTATTAATTCCTGATGATGATGGCCGCGTTGGCGATGTGTTACGAGAAATCATTTCCATATGATACTGTTCACTATCATCGGGTGATTCATTTATTTCATAGCTACTAGTTTTTGATATTTTCCCTACAATTGATTTTGTTGTTGATGGACCTAACAAAGGTTTGGAAACTTTTGCTGCAGACAACAATGATTGAGTTCGAATTGAACGACCAGGTCCAGAATGTCGTACAAAACGGCTAGGTTTATTTGTGACGCCATTATAAGTTGAACTCGAGTTATTTGAACCCGATGTTGATAGATGTGGACGATAACTATTGCCAAAAGTATTTGTCAACGATGATGCTGAAGTTGATGGATAATGAATTGGATTATGAATCTGAATTTTTGTTCCAGGACAAGTTGTGTTCATATTTGGTTTATTTCCGATTCCGGTTATATGTTTTACAGATGATAACAATGAATTTTTCGAATCATTACATTGATTTGTTACATTGGATGATTGGTTTGTTTTTGATTTTATTTTATGTTTATTAGTATAAAGATCCAAACGTGCTTTATTCAATGACATTTTCAATTGTTTTTTATATTTCAGGAAATAAACAGTAAATGAATACCGGCCTATTTTAAAACAAAATACAATAAGTAATTAATTATAATGTTGGGCCATCTGTCGACAGTAGTTATAAGTAAAATAATTTCAAAATTCATGAATTTCGAAAAAAAAATATTCTAAAATTAATAATAATAATAAGAACTCATGATTACTATCATTTCAAAAAAAAATGAATAACATAATAACATGAATAACATCATTATGTGAATAAATCAAATGAAACTATTGTTATTATAATTTTGCATGAAATGATGATGATAATAATAGAAAATTGCAGTTGTGTACACGTTTATATTTTTTTTCTCATCCATCTTTATATTCTTTTTTTTTTGTTATTATTATTATTATCATTTTTTTAAAATTTGATTTGAATATAAGTGCAATCTGCGTAATTCTTTGAATTCTTTTTATTTTTTTGGGTGAGAAATTCAAAATCTCAATGATTGTTATCAATATTTGAAAAAAAAAACTTAATTATAACTATGAAATAGTTTTTGTTGTTGTTGTTGTTATTGGATAGGTGGAAATGGAAAATTAACAAACGGACATCTTTATTTTCTTTTTCTTTTTTTTCGACCAAATAGACTCATAGATAACAATGCCATAGCCATTCTTTTATCATTGTTGAATGTAAAAATGTTGATTTTTATTTCGACAATGTTACAATTTATATTCGTATGATTATATTGAAAATTATTCACTATACTGATCACGGCTAGATGATTATAGTTTTTTTTGCATTCGGTTGTTCGTGAATTGTGTGTGTGACACGATTGTGAATAAATGGACAAACAAACAAACAAAAATGGAAAGACACGATTTTCAGAAATTTCAGAGAAAGAAAAAACACTAATTTTAAACAGCAGCAATGACAACATTTATCATTTAGAATGTATTGAATAATAGAAACAATAACTAAACGATCGATTTTGAATGAACTATAAGGAAATTTTTTTATATATTTGTTTTATTGATTCTGATGATCAATGATTTCTATCGAGATGTTTTTCAAACAAACCTTGACTAAAAACACTAAATCATCAGCTAATTTACATATGATTTATTCGATTTTTGGAATGGGTATAGAATGAGATAGATTTTCAATAACAAAAAAAAAGAAAGAAATGAATTGATTTAAAATTTACCTGTGAAAATGAAAGAAACAAGAGAAAAAACAAAACAAAAAAATAATCAAGGTTCGATCCAAAAAAAAACAACTATGAATATTGAAATATTTGGACAATAAATATAAATTCACAATTTTGTATTGAGAATTTTCACAAATTTTGATTCATTGATTAAAAAAAAAATTAAAACAATCAATATCACAATTTATATTTATATACTGGGAAATATTGTTGAAAAAACAAAAGATAGATTAAAACCAATGACAAACAGAGTGTGACAATCATCGTCCTCGACATTCGACAATTTGATGAATTTATCGTCTTCGGCAACATCATCGTTATCAGAACATTCTTATGTTTCTTCAAGTAATGGTTGCGTTTGTTCATTTCATACCAGACAGAATTCAACATCATCCAACAGAATAGAATGTAAAACTTGCCAAAAAAGAAAAAAGCTAGCATTACCATGAACCTCCTATAGAATTATCATGATAGTCAATTTGAGTTAGTTTTTCATTTGTTTGTTTCTTGAAGAAATAAGGATCATCTTAAAAAGGGGTTGTTACTGCCAAAAAAAAAAAAAAAAAAAAAAAAAAAAAAAAAAAAAAAAAAAATCAGCATTACTTTTAACGGTCTTGAAAATAATTACCACACCGTGTTGTTTATGACACCAAATCGTTGATTTTAATTTCATTCATCGATGGTTATGGGCTAATTCATGTTTTTGAATATTTAAAGAAAAAATTAATTTTGGCAAATTTTGGCAATCAAATTCTCGAATATAAGTAAATTCACACTGATCGAACTATCCGAATAAAAACAATTCAAAANAAAAAGGATAATTTTAAAAAGGGGTTTTTTCTGCCAAAAAAAAAAAAAAAAAAAAAAAAAAATCAGCATTACTTTTAACGGTCTTGAAAATAATTACCACACCGTGTTGTTTATGACACCAAATCGTTGATTTTAATTTCATTCATCGATGGTTATGGGCTAATTCATGTTTTTGAATATTTAAAGAAAAAATTAATACTGATCGAACTATCCGAATAAAAATGAGAACCAAAACAATTTAAAATATCCGGGTATTGATCCCACTTCCGTTATCCATATTGAACATTTTCTATAGTGGCGGTTAATGATTTCGGATTTGTTATCAAATTTACAAATAAATCATATTTAGCGGGCGTGTGTGTGTGTGGGTTGAATTAGCAAGCAAAAGTCTGATCTGAATCCATAACCAAAAAAAAAAAAAAAACGAATGAACAATCAGTTCTTTTTCTTGAATGATGATGATCTTTTCCTGGTGCGCACGAATTTTTTTTTCTTACTCGCATACAGAACAACAGAGTTTGATTGTAACAAAACAGGAACTAAATTTAGCGTCAAAAAAAAGAAGTAAAAAAATAATAATAATTTCAAATAACATATCGGTGCCAAAACAACAACAACAAGCCATACGAATTGAATTGCTACGAAAGCCAAAAACAAAATTTGAAATACAATACAGATATATTTTATTCATTAAATAGAAATATAATTTCAAATCTTTTTTTTTTTAATATTCATTTCACAATTCAAGTATTGATTTTCTCATATTACTCTCTCTTAGAGATTCATAAAACGTGATGACATGATGTTTGTTTGTTTTTTTCTACTTTTGATTATTCATTTTTTTTCAATAACTGTTTATTGTATATGATAATTATATGTACTAGATTCCATCATAAAAATGTTCTAATTTCTCAATTTATGAAGTTTGATTAACCTTGGCTATAAGCTATAATCGTAATGATTCATTTGAAATGGATTTTTGTTTTTTTTTGTTGTTGAAAACAGATTAACAGTCTTTTGAAATATCGGAATCTAAACAATTTGAATGTTTTTTTTTTGGCTATATTTCAATACGATTTATGATTGAATTTATTAGCAAAATAAGAAAAAACAGACAGAAAAGGATACGTAATATAAAAACGTAAATATTTATTCAATTTTATTTTTATTTAATTTTTTTTTTAAATAATTTTAGTTACATGATATATTACAACAAATTGAATTGTCATCGCCCTTGTTGATTGCTTGTATATTCTCTCCGTATAAAATATTCAATAAGATATTCACACTTGTTGTTGAGGGTTATTACATGGTGATGATGTATCGAATTTTTAGAAAAAAAAAAATTAATTTCGTAATTTGTTTGGCTTGTTATTGTTGTGTAAAAAAATCTCATTCGAATGATTAATTAACAAATAATTCAAAATGTTATTGGCTTTAACGAAGAATTTATCGAATCATGACTAAAATGACAACGAACTTGAAAGATTTTTTTTTTTACTTTACAAATAAAATGAATGAACGTTGATGTTAACGAAAATGTCTAAGATGAATGAATGATGGAAATCTTCGCCTTAGAATCAGTTTTTTGAATATAATAATAAAAACAAATATTGATAAAATCATGACGAAATAGAATCGATAATTAACATCATTGGATGATTCGTGTTTCTGTTGCTTTCCACTGTTACCGTTGAATATTTCAGCCATTTTCGAATCTGGCCAATTATTGAGCAAAGATTGATCGTGGTTCATTCTGTTGTCCAATCTATCATCTTCCGAAAAAAATTTCTTACCGAATGATGATTCGGCAATTTTATCATCATCATTCACATTTTCATCAATATGAGCTGACAACAATAGTTTTGGTGATTCAGGTAATTCCTCTTCAGAAGTAATGTTTAACATCATTTGTTTTTCATACACGATCTTTATACATTCTAAGATGGGAACGAATTTCGATGATTGATCAATTACTTTTGAATATTTATACAATTGATTTTCAATCAATCGTTTTGGTTTATTCAGTTGAATACGATCCAATTCAAAATGGTGTACAATGAAATTTTCAATGTGTGACTGCATCACAGTGTCAGATTGTTTTTCAGTTTCAATAAATGTAGGCACTTGTCCAGTAGTAACAAATTGCAATAAAGCATCAAGCATCCAAAAACAATCTTTTTGTTGATGTGCCTGATCAAGACAATTTGAATCACCATAGATTGAGAAACGACCAGTTTTACGATTCGACAAATCTCTATGCATTCCCAGTATAGTCGCTTTTTCTGATTTTTTCTTCTTTTCTTTATTGTTTTCATTTAATATTTCCCAACCTTGATTGTTGAGATCACGATGTAGAACGATAAAATTTTCTTTGGGATAATCAATGATACTCGTGCCCGATGCATAATACATTTCATGTGATCCAAGCTTGAAATTACCCTCAAAAACTTGTTCACCTAAAGTAACATTCCAATGGACTAATAAATCATTCAAAGCTGGTATATTAGCGCCACCAGTGACCGGTAACCACCATTGTCTGGTGTTTTCATCAAAAAATTTAACTTTCTGCATAACATCTACATTATACCAATCAGCAAAAATGATCAATGATAAACCATATTCGAAGTAATCTTTTCGTAGTTTTTCAATTTCTTCGGGAAAAAATTCCTCTTCTGGATCGACAATTAATAATGCACCGTATTGTTTGGCATCAAAACAGCTGTAAGGTTGACCTAAAACTTCCAAGTAATAACCATTCGATCTAAGATGTTGATACATTTCACGAAAATTTGTGCTAAAGAGAAAAAGAAAAATTATCATGATTGAATAAAATTCAAATAAAACTTACTGAATATGATCAGCATTCCAATCAAGCGGATCATACTTAATCCGAAGATCATCACGAGGAAAATAACCCGGTGGATAACGTAAATTATGGAATTGATCCCAGAGAATTCGTTTATTTCTTGGAGGAGTAGGAATGATTTTGGCTTTTATTGGTAAGATTAATTCACTAATTAAAGTGCTGTTGGTATTCCCTTCATCTTCGGAAGATGATTCTACTGTAAGGGAGAGATGTCCTCGAACAATGCCTTCCCAATCAGAAGCCAGTGATGACACGGATAAATGAAGAGCTATCCATCCAGACCAAGGCCACAATATATCGGAATATGAAATCGCTACATCTAGGTAATGCCCATTGAAACCGCTATAAGGATGCCATTGAGGTCGTTTGTTGATGAATCCAGTGACACCCATTCCATTTAAGATAGTAACATTTACAATAATTGGAACGGATCCATGATATAATGGCTGGCTACAATATGGCCACATATAAGTGCACTCAGTGAAATCGATATAATTTGGATATAATGATGCTTGAGGTTTATACGATCGTAAAATGTGATACGCCCTGACAAGATCAAGTTTACCAGCACCTTGTTCAAAAATAGGAGCATTCGGTAATCTATGAGCAGAATGAATAAGCGCTTGCTTCATGCTGGCAGGATTGATAAGGTCTCCCATATGAAGAACACCACTCATTACTAAAGTGATAGCACCAGCTACAACCGGAGAAGCAACTGATGTTCCAGATAAAACACGACATCCGCCATTGATATTTGATCCACGAACATAGGCTCCGTATGTAACAATGTCTGGTTTGACTCTTCCATAGCCTTGTGGCAATTCCCAAGTTGTCATACCACGAGAAGAAAACCTAGCAATTTGATCATCAAAGTCAATTCCACCGACACCGATAACATCCATTTGATCTGCAGGATTATTCAAAGTTCCATAAAGAGGACCATCATTTCCGATGGCTGAAACCATGATGACATTATTGGCTGTCAGTTCCCATACTTTATCAACAAATGGAGTATCCATAAAATCAGGTCCGCCAATGCTAAGATTTAGGATATTAATTTTTTTCATTATGGCATAATTGAATGCATCCAAAAACCATGAGGTATATGAAACTTGTTTGTTCGTGAAAACTCGAAAAATATGAAGTTCAGCGTCGGGTGCAAAACCAAGACATTCTCGATTACTGGCTATCACACCAGCAACAAAAGTTCCATGGCCAAGAACATCATCCAAAGTCTTTTCATTCGTCCAATTTGTTCGTTCTTTTATCTTCTTAAAATGTTTATGATTAATGGATAAGCCAGTATCGAATACTGCAACTTTAACACCAGTTCCAGTGATTCCCAAATTCCAAAGTTTGTCTGCTTCGAGCACATTTGTTATCTGTCGGGGTATTGCACGCAACAATCGTCTTCTTGTATCACTATAGTTTATATCATCAAAGCTTGATTGACTAAATTGTTCATCATCATGTTTAGACTCGGAAATATTTACAAATTTGAGAGTTCGAACGATTTGTCTTTGTGGTGTGATATTTTTAATTTTTCGATGATTTCGTACGCTTTTTACAAACAATTCCAATGGTATAGATAAATTCTCCAGATGAATTACATCGAAATCGCTTGGATATTTATTAGCTTCATTGATTCGTTGAATAATTGACCAATTATTATCATTGATTCCTGCTTGATCAAATGAAGCTTTGATAAAATTAAATCGAGTCGAAGGTTTATAAAGATGATTAAATGTTATGATAAACTCTACGATTAAAACCAGATTAAAATACTGTTTAATTATTTAGATTTTGTTTACCATTTTCAATAATATCACTATGGAAACTATTTTCAACATAAATGTCAATTGGAAGATCAAATGTATCACAGAATGGAAATGATCGACAAGTGTCCAGAATTGATAGCCCTAAAAGGATCAATGTATGATGGAATAGATATTTTGCGAAAAACATTCTAAAAATAAAACAACAAAATCGTAATAAAATTCATTATAACTATATTTTTCATAAATGAATTTTTTGTCCGTTCCAATTGATATCAAAGAATATTCCTTTATTTTTCAAAACAAATCCTTTGATAATGAAACATGTGATCCGAACTCTTTATTCATAAACAATGTATGGATTCAAATTCCATAATTTAAATTAACGAAAATATCTTTTTTTCTCGTTTATAAATTTTTTTTTATTTCCGACGTTTGTTCTCACATTCAAACGACATAAATAGCTAAAATAAACTTTATTTCATTTTTCCGTTGGTACGCGCTATACACGTGCAATCATACTGAACAATTATATTATGTACTCAAGATTGTTTTAGTGTTTTTTTTTGAGCTTTTGGTTACGCTTGAAATATATTTTGTCGTAATTTTTTCTTTCTCATATCCGTTCAAAACAAAACAGATTAAAGTTGACATTGATTTCATGAATGAAATGGCTTAATATATGGATAGAGAAAATTTAGACCAGTTTGTTGTCAGACAAATCATGTTTTGTCCAGTTTGTTTTTGAAAGCGAACCCTTTCGTGATGGCTCTAATTCGGATTTTCAACAAGTTTTTTATAAATTTGATCATTTATTTAATTTTTTGTTGTTTCATCCTTACGAGAATCGCCAATCAAATTCATTTGCCAACATTTGAAGATCTTGATATAAAAGATTTAGATATTGATACCAGTCTTGATTATGATCCAGATGGTGGTGGTACAGGAATTTCTCAACCAGTAGCTGCACTTACTGGTCTTGGTACTGGACAAGATCATGGATCAATGATGATTAAAGCAGTCGCTCTAATTCGTGGCCAAGTTAATGGTGTTGTACGTTTGGTTCAAGTTGGTTCTGGTCCAACTCTGGTAGCCGGTATTGTCAAAGGCCTATATCCATTCTCTAAACATGGTTTTCATGTTCATGAATATCGAGTGACAGGTGATTGTGAAAGTGCCGGTGAACATTACAATCCGACTAAAGAGAATCACGGATCACCATTTTCTGTACAGTCACATGTTGGTGATTTTGGTAATCTTATTGCTGATGGGCTTGGATTTTCTCGATTTCATGTGACTAATCCAAAATTATCTTTACGTGGAAAATATAGTGTTATTGAACGTTCATTAGTTATTCATCAAAGGCCTGATGATCTAGGAATGGGTTTCAATCATGAAAGTCGTAAAACGGGAAATTCTGGAGGAAGACTTGGCTGTGGTACAATTAAATTCGTAAGCATCGGTTGAATGTACGTCCTGATACACGACGACAATGTTATATTACAGAGCTGGCCAAACTGCGGCTCGCGAGCCGCATGTGGCTCGGGAGCCACACTTCTATAATTCAAAAATCGAGGGTGAGGAGGGTGAGCTTGGCCACCCCTGTTATATTACATGAAAAATTAATGTCACACTATTGTATCAATAAAATTTTTTTCAAATGCTTAGCAATATGCGTCATAAAATCGGCAATGTTTAAAAACAAAAACTATGCAATTGTGGTTTTAAATATAGATTTTTATTATATCTCCCAGAGATATGTATCATGACAACAATTTTTTGTGATCCTTGATAAAAAAAAAATGATTTTTTTTTTTTTTTTTTTGATAAAGGATTCACTCTATTTCACCGGGGTGATGATTCATCATTTAGCTTTTTTCAGATCATTAAATTGATACGGATTAATCAATTTAATGAGAGACATTTGATGAAAACATCGGTTTTTTTGAAATAGAGCCATGTTCACACTATAACAATTGATTTGATAAATGCGACCTTCAAAACAATTATATGTTTGTGCGTAGGAATACGTAGACATCATCATCATCATCATGAGCTCATTTCCAAATATGTACTTTTTCATAATGTAATATATCTGTTTTTTTCAATTACAAAATTTTTCCATTTTCTCAATTATTTACTATTTGGATTGCAAACAAATCACAATTGATTTGTTAATTGTTTTTTTTGTCCGTCTTTTGATACACAGGTGATTCGTAAATAGCGTTACATTGTTGTTATTTTTATTTTTATTTGTCGAAATATTCTTGCCAACATCGAATCAACGAATCTAAATTCTTATATATTGACGATAAAAATTATATTCTCGACATAATTCTTACGAAACACACAAATCTTAATACTCAAATAATGAATCTAGTATTTATGGTTTTAAAATTAAACAAATTCTTATTAATCCGCTAAAAATGCCTTCAAATAATGGTTATCAACCGTTGATCAATTCATCATCATCATCATCATCACATACATCATCCTCATCTCATCGACCATATAGGCCTAGGTTTTTAGATGAAATATGTGCGGATGGTACTGCTCCACCTTCTTTAAAATTAGGCGACAAAGTTGTCTGGCTCAGTGATGATGGTCCAGAATATGGTGTTGTTAAATGGTTGGGAAAATTAACCGATGTTGGTAATGAATGGATGGCTGGTGTAGATTTTGTTAATCCAATTGGTTCCGGCACAGGATTATATCATGATTATAAGCTGTTTGAGACAAAAATGAATCATGCATCATTAGTACCTATCGCTGGTTTGATAAGAGCTAATGATTATATTGGAAACTATAGCAACATAAACAGTAAAAATGCCGATACCATTCTCGTGGCTCCGTTAAAGCCAAAACGAACTAAAAAAACCGAAACTTCCAAATTCTATACAAATGAATATTATCATACCAATCTTAATAAAGATATGATCCATACAAACGATGATTTGGAAAAACGTATTAAATTTTCTGACAATATTGGCCTTCATTCATCATCATCAAACATTAATTCAATTTCCAATGATTTAGCTGAATTAAATTTTACTAATGTCATTCAGGCAAAAACTTGCGCAATCGATGCCAATTTCGACAAATCTAGCCCATTAAAATGTAAGCTATTAAAGAACTTTTACATTACATTTTTTTTCCTAATTCAATTTTTGACATTATTATAGCCACTGAATGTCCAACATCAGGATTGCATTGTTCATTACGGTCAAGCATGAATTCATGCAATAAAACAGAAGAGTTTGTTAATAGCAAAAATAATGCCGATAAAATGGAATGTGATCAACGTAAATTAAATCTTCAAATCCCTAAAAACATCCATAATAATATAATAAGTGAAGAAAATCAAGAATCACCTGACGACGATGAATTATTTGAAATCGGTTCTGTGGTTGAAGTGGGCATAAATTCTACATCATATCATGGAGTTATTCGATGGCTTGGTTTTCTTAAAAATGATTTAGACTATACAATTGATTCGATTAGAAAATCAAACAAACGTTTCAAGGATGTTGTTGCGGGAATAGAACTTGAAGAAGAGATTGCTGGTTTAACGGATGGAACATTGAACGGTCGAAGATATTTCAATTGTTCAATCAATAAAGCTTACTTTGTTCCTTTGAATGAATGTTCGAAAGATAGCCGTTTCTATCATAGTTCTGCTACTGGTATTCAAAACGGCAGTTTACTTTTGAATGAAAAACAATGTGATTCTAGTCATTTTGGATCAATCGATTGTCCGACTGTTTTGGGTAATATACCACCATTGACTACTGCAGATTTAGAGCGACTTTGTGGCAAGAATCGTGGAATTCAAGGCCATCATAATTCCTGTTATTTAGATGCAACTTTGTTTGCTATGTTTTCTTTTAGTTCAATTTTTGACAGCCTACTTTATCGTCCCAAACGTTCAAACGACATTCAGGAGTATAATGAAGTTCAACGCATTCTCAAAGAAGAGATTATCAATCCATTGCGGTCGAATTTGTATGTACGAGCTGATAGGGTAATGCATCTTCGACAACTATTGGAAAAGATTAGCTCGGTACGAGGGTTGACTAGCGAAGAAAAAGATCCCGAAGAATTCATAAATCTTCTCCTCAATGAGATATTGAAAACGGATCCTTTCCTGAAACTAAGTTCCGGTCTAGAATCATTATTTTATCAACTGTTTGTTGAAAAAGACGAAAATCTTCAATTGCCAAACGTTCAGCAGCTATTCGATCAATCATTTTTAGCATCGGATATAAAACTACGCGAAGTTCCATCATGTTTAATGATACAAATGCCACGTTTTGGCCGTGATTTCAAAATGTATCCCCGAATAGTTCCTAGTTTGAATTTAGACATTACTAATGTTCTGGACAATTCACCTCGCCAATGTATAATATGTGGTGAACTTGCTCAATTTGAATGCAAAGATTGTTTTGGAAAATTTGGTGATGGTCTTGATTCTATAGCATTCTGTATGATATGTATGGATAAAACTCATAGTACACATAAAAAACGCATCAAACACAAAACGACAAGATTGAATGTTCCTCCAGAATTCACTATGCTTCAAAATCATACAAACATACCACGGGTGACAATGGAATTGTTTGCTGTTCTCTGCATTGAAACAAGGTATTTTAGCTGCTCCATTTACATTTCGGAATCATTTTTTATCATGACAAATTTACTTTTACAGTCACTATGTTTCGTTTGTCAAATGTGGAACTGAACCCAACAGTCCTTGGTGTTTTTTCGACAGTATGGCTGATAGAAAAGGTATAAACTTGAATAAATTCTTGTATTTCATTTTTCTTATTATTCGACCAAATTAAACAGGTGAACAAAATGGCTATAACATACCTGAGGTTGTCGAATTTCCGGATTTAAAGTAAGTCAAGTTTTCTATTTCCGTTTGTGTCAATAAAATCCTTCAATATGTTTTTTTTTCTTTTTTTTTATGTTGCCATCATATTTGCTGATTAAAATGAACAGATGGTGGATGAATGAAGATGGACAAAATTTTCTGCAAAAAAATCGTGATGATAAATTGATTCCTGAATTGGCGAGGCGGTTTTTTTCGGATGCTTATATCTGTTTTTATTCATCTGAAGCATCACTTTATAGATGATGAAAACGATTGATTGAAACGTGTGTGTGTGTTCGTCTTTTTGTCCACTATTACAAAATCAAAATGTGCAATTATAAAAATCTAACTTCCAATCAACCGAAAAATTACTTAACCATGAATGTTCCAAACGTGAAAAAATATATGTAATTATCAATTAATTTCATCTGACTATTACTTTTACTTTGATTGAAAAAAATGAATATTTTTTATTTGATTAAAATATTCTTTATTATTGTATCATTGGTTTATTATTATTATTATTATTATTATAATGAATAAATTCACATGAAAGTGACAAAGATCAAAAATGTATTTGTTTTGTTTTGTTAATAGTATGTATAATTTGGATCATATATTTACAAGAAATGTATACACGTTTAAGAACATATACGATACAATGGAAACAGGGAAAAGGATTGTTTCCTATCAATATTATTATTATTATTATTCATAAGAATATTAATTTTAATGTTTTCATATCAAATTTATTTATCGTAAGTTTAAACAAAAGGGAAAAGAAAATAGATGAGAGGTATATTTTCAATGATCAAGTGATTGATTATACTCATTGTGAGTAAAGTTGAAAGTGGAGCAAACTATTATTTAGGTGTCCAAAATCAAATGATGGAAAACGAAACCAAAAAGGTGATGTGTTGCCCGAATCAAACTATTCTTTTATTGTTTTTTTGTGTGCTGGATGAGATCAAATTTCTATAGTTTGTAAAAGAACTTCGATGCTTTTTTCTCCCTTCTTTTTTTCATTGTTGACTATGTTTGAAATTTAATGTATTCAGGAGTCTGGTGAATATGTAATTGACAATGATGAAAATTTATGGGCAATATTCGTGGTTTCATATTAATTCAATATCGAACGATGTGTATCCAGTATCGTTGATCATGTCATCTTGCTGATTGGCATAATCGTCTTTTCTGTTTGGGCAACAATGAAAATAAAATAAAAACAGAAATCAATGTTAAGTACGTGATATATGCTACAAGTACATACCGAACAGCACGATAAGTAAAGAATACGATTCGTTTAAGTTTTTTCGAATAGAAAAAATAATAATATGCCCATATGGAACAATCATCCCAAGGATCGAAATTGGAATCCGAATTGAAACTTTAAAAAAAAGACAGAAAACAAATGTTAAACATTAGATAAATAAATGCTCTTGTTTAAGAAAAATAGACTTACCGATAAATTTCACAATCTGATAGATTAATATGACTATCGATTGCAGACCATAGCTGTGATTTCATTTCATTGTATTCTTGTCTGGCTGATGAACTAAAAAATGTCGAATCCACAGCATCCATCACATGCTAAATATCAATGACAAAAAAAAAGATATGTTATACAAAACAAATGTGTTTGAAATGAGCGAATGAATAATTAATGATGATCATTGGATCTCATCATGAAAAAATAATACTATTATATTTTGCTTGTTAAAAAAATGTTTAAAAGCTTCAAACTTGGCCAATTAATTGGAAATTTTCAATTTTAAAAAAACTAACACTTAAAAATGATAAGATTTTCTTTAGGAATAAAAATTCGATTGATTTTTCTATTATTCCGGTTTTACGTTGTCAAAACAATCAGATGAAATTTTTTTTTGTCAGTGCCAAATCAACGGAAATTCATATGAAAAAAAACAATGTACATGAAGATTAACGACCATATGTATGTATTATTAATTTTATATTATACGATATATTTAGGCATAAAAAGCGTATGATCTAATTGACAATCTCTGTATTATTCTAAACATGTACATCTGGCAATTGTTTGAAACGAAAAATTCTTAGTGAATGAAAATGAAAATTCTTGTCTAAGTTTCAATATTATGTGACCATAATAATTTTCTTATGAATAGAACAAAAGAATTTCAATTATAATGATGAAGAAAAAAAAATTGTATGATACAGGAAAGATTTCCTTTTAATTCTATATCTTTCGTTCTCATTATAAATTCTTGTGATTGTAGAATAATAAATGATTGATAATTTATACCTTTACACTTGGTTCACGGCTAAATTCTTCAGCACGGCAATTACTAAAATCATAATCAGGATTGAATGAAGCGTTCAATGTAGCAATCAGATAGAATAATGTTTTACGACTGATCATTGATGTCGGAGCATATTGAAATTCATCGGTGAATGAATCAAATCTGTCAAGAAAGAAAAATGAAAAAAAAGAAGAAAAATGAATACAATAAAATATTAGATAAATAAATAAATATTAAATTGAATATGACAGAATTTATATTGGATTTGATGTTCACAAATCGCCGCCAACCAAAAAAAAAATATGAAAAAAATAAACCATTTTTATTTTTATCATTAACAAGATCAAATTTCAAAAAAAAATCAAGAATAAAAATGAAATGTAAATATCAAACCAAATTAACATCAGTATCTGTTATAGTAGAATAATATGTGTGTGTGAGAAAAAAATTGGATAAATTCTGGACACGTTTTTTTCCGTTTAAACGACGAGAGAAAAATAAAATAAAAACTAAATTTTGAATCCAAATTTCTTGTTCCGGAATTAAATGTTTGAAAGAAAATGATAATAATAAAAATACAATACAATCATTACGATTAAATGAAAAAGTGCTAAGCAACAACAAAAAAATTCCGTCAATTTCTCAATTGATAAATAGAAAGGATGGCTATAGTTTTTAAATATAATTTCATTGTTTTCCTTTCGAAGAATCCAAAACAATATATAACTTGGATAATTTATGTGATGATGATGAAAAACAATGTTATTATATGGATGTGTTTGTTTGTTTGTTTTTTTTTCTGTCGTTTTTCTATATATTACTGAATTCAGATAGAAAATTGAAAATGGTTTTCATTACTAATCTCACACTTTTTTTATACTAAACATTCTATATTTCAAATTCCTGGTAACAATCGTAATTAAGCTTTTGGCACGAACAAAACAATAACAAAACAAAATCATTCAGGAATAAGATCTTTAGATAGATAAATAGGATTTGATTAATAGATTTTTGTTTTTGTCTCGATGATTCAAGTCCATAACAAAATCAATTAAATATATTTTTTTGTTTTGTTCAGATGTCCACATGGACCAAGTTTTCATTTCGAAATTCTGTCCCTATTTTTTTCAAAACAATCGAATCGAATTCAACTGAATTGAATAGTTAGAGATAAGGTTGTCAAATTTTTCGTTTAATTTTGTTTGTCAACAATAATTTTGTTTTTTTTTCTTTTCGACGTTTTGTTTTGTTTGAATTTTGTATTATTATTATTATTGGTTCCAAACTAAATGATGACAAGGTTTACTTTGATGTTTTTTTTACTTTCTTTCATCATGTTCAAACAGTCGCTAAACATGATTGAAATGATAAACATTGTGAAACTATTTTATCTATAGAGAGAAAGAGATAGACATAGATTAACTGAAAACTATAGTAAATATCTTTGGTATGGGATGCAAAAGAAAAACTCAAGAAAGTAAGAACCAAAAAAAAATATGATTTAAGCAATTTATAAACAAAGACAGGATTAAATTTCTTCATTTTTTTAGTGTGTAATGATTTGTAAAAAAAATTAACCATGCAAACATCCGTTTATGTTATCATTAATTTCATTTTGATAAAACTCACCTGCTGTTAAAAGATCCAGATTCCGGTGGTGAAAGTACTTCTAAATCATTTGGACTAAGACCATCAGCAGCATTCATCGATTTGAATAGTCGTTTTTCGCTGGCTACTAATTTACATGAATAACTTTCCAGTCTATATTATTAATTCAATAAATAATAAAACAATGATAATGATCAACAACAACAAACAAAAAAAACAAGCTAAAAATTTCAAACCTTCCAACAATCTGATATACACCAGCATCAAAATTCAATGCCGAATTAAGAGCTTCGAAATGAGAATGTTCCAGAAATTTCATCTTATTAATATTGAATGAGATTAGTTGAATTAAGTATATATTTTTTAATGAATTATACGAATGAAATCAGAATGTCAAAAAAAAAAAATGAACAAACAAGAATAATACACCCCAAAAAACATATGACTTGAAGAAATTAGTTGATAGATAATTGGAAAACGAATCACACAATACAACAACAACAACACAAAATGGTAGAGTTTTTTAGTACACTTTTAGGATGAACAGTTATATCGAGATGGCAATGCCATTTTGGTTTTTTTCGAAAATTATTTAATTCAGCTGGATATTTTATGATTGATACAGATGATGATGATGAACAATAATAATTCGAATGAAGCATTTGAAAAATTTTTCAATACGAAACAGAAACTCAAATATTTTACACAAAACTGATTAAACTTATATGAGTCTCAAAAGAAAAATGAAATGACAATTTTGATTATGAAATCGATTGATGTATCGGATGAAGATGATTTAATTGATGACACGAAAAATCTTGCGAACAAAAAAACTTGGATACTCAAATGAAAAAAAAAATCAAGGATATGATAGCATTTTGTTCGACCTTGAGTAGCTTGTGATATTTATATTCACTCGCTCTCTTTCTCTCTCTCTTTCATACACTTACATACACATTCGTTCTATTTTGTTCGAATTTTCAAAAAAAAGAACTTTTTATTTTTTATTTTTATGAAGAAAATTGAGATTTTTTCATCTGACCATCGATGATTGAAAAATGATTGATGAAGAATTTATTAGTACAAATAAGATTATTATCAGATTTTCAAAAAGAAAAAATTATCGAATAACAACAACACAATATAAATTAAACATAATGATAAAAATAAGCATCGTTGAGAATGTTTTAACAATAGAAAAAATAGTGAATATATTGCTGTTGCTAAGGCTCGTGTATGTGAGAACACAAAAAAATTGTAAACAATCCTGTTTACTTGCAACATATGAACCGACATTTGCAATGAATATAAGTTGAAAATAGGATGCAACGTATAAAATTGGTTACAGGCCAAATTCATTCGTTTTTTTTCTTCCTTATTTCGTTGATGATATTTTAGGGGGAAACATGTTCGCGCTTCTATTTTTTTTTTCGCTAAATTTGTTCGCCAAAAATCATCGATCAATCAAATCAATTTCATTCTTTATTATTTTCATTTATTGTTGTAGATTTTTAAAATGAAATCACCACTGATTATTCAGATTCTATTCATGAAAATTCTTTATTCTTTTTTTGAATTCAAAAAATCAACTGACAGCTTAATAATAGATAAGTTTTCGAGTTTTTGTTGTGTTGTTGTTTATTCTTTGATCACACACACACACACACACACACACAAAAAACAAACTACCGATCAAACATGATCAGTATTCAATTGATAAATCGTTTTCAATAAACATTTTCAGCATCGATTAATTCATTTTAACAATAACATAGTAGAAAACAAACAAAAACAATTTCCTTTGCGATTTTTTAAGAAAAGAATATTTATTAACGTTTGTAAAATGTTGATTTGAAAACCCTTTTTTACTTTCACTAATCAATTCTAAATTCAAACATTTTGTTCAAACATCTAATCAATGGAAATTGGAAATACACAATTTAAGCCCAGAATTACTCGTCTCGTGTATAGTTTTTTTTGATCATTCAGAATGGTTGTAGTTGCGAGATGATGATGGTTGGTACATTTGGTTGGTTTTTGTATTTTCTTTTTTTTTGTTGTTGTAAATAATAATGTAGAATCAAGGATTGTATTTGTTTATTTCGTAATATATTTTTTGTGTTGGTCTTGTTCTTGTTTTTTTTTGATTGTCATTATTATTATTTTCGTTTCGTTTTGCTTGTAAATCATGACATCGTGAACATGTCATAATATTGTTCATTCATTCATTCAAAATCATTATATCATCATAATAATAATGTGTGTGTGTGTGTGTTTGGATAATTTTCTGATGGAAACACAAACATGGCATAAAATCCAGTATAGCCTTCATTGGAATAAATTGATAGCATTTCCCGCAAATTGAATTAATTTTTTTTTCTGTCGAAGCATGATGATGATGATGATGATGGTCATCATCATTTAGTATCATTAAGCACGAAACACTGAGCCAAAATAGTAAGAAAAAAACTAAAGATGTTTTATTTTTTTTTCTTCACATTCATTCTTCAGGAATAACTGTAACTTTGCGTATAATTTTTTTCTACTTTGAATCATTAAGGTTTATGGATGTTTGTCGAAAACTACCTATATTTGAAAAAAAACTTTATAATTTAATTCAATCAAATCAAATTGAAAAAAATTCATTCTACTAAATCATTTTGACCAATCCGAGAAATCCTTTTCATCAAAATGAAAAAAAATTCTATAAGGTATTTTCCAAAGGGAAATTGTAAAAAAAACAACTTTCTCCATCACTATACTATCATATAATTGCCACTATCATGCAAAAATCCATTAGATTATTACGAATTTTTTTCTTCTTTCGCTTTAATGTAAAGGATTGATGTTTATGTTGATGTTTGAATTTTAAATGAAGAATTTCAGAATTTCAAAACAAACTTTCAGAAAAATGAATTGGAATAAATAATGGATTTTCAATAGGCAAAAAAAAAACATTAAATTATAATGATGATGACAATCCTCTTGATCTATCATCATCATCGTTTTTGTATTTTTGAATTTTATTTTTATTTTTTTGGATAAAAGTTCAATCATAGATTATAATGATAGGCAATCGATGGTTTTCAACAAAAGAAAATCTCTACATTTAAATTTTTTTTTTGTTGAAATTGTTTTCTCAATATTTTTTCCCTAACCAAACAAACAAAAATACATAATATGGATCGCATATTCTTGTTGGTGGGGGGGTGGAGAATCACTTTTCTATGAAACAAAGTAATTGATTTTTTCGTTTTTGACATTCCATATCTTGTTGTCGATTCTGATTTCTTTATATTTTTTTTCTTATTATTCTTTACAACTAGAACGACAGATATATAATGGATGGATGGATAGATCGAAAGATAGATAGATAGATAGGCTGACAAAATGTTTTTTCAACAAACAAACGAAAAAAAGAAAAGAAAGAAAAAGTTGATGATTTTGATCCAAATCATCATTTCTAGATTTTTTTTTCATGTTGTTGCCATTTTTTTATGTTTCATCATCAATGTTCATACAATTCATTTCATTCTTCGATTTCACAACAACAACAAAGAAAGAAGGAAAGAAAAAATCTAATATTTTTTCATTTTCAATGTTACCATCATCAACCAAATCCTTTGGAGGTTTTTTTTTTGTCAATCACACTGCAAAAGAAAACTATATCAGAATAAATAGAATCTTTTCAAGTAAAAAAAAAATAAGCTAAAGAAATGATGCTGATAAGTGACATGTTAACACACAATGCTACACACACAGACAAACACACCCTAACATATAGATATAGTCAAAAAAAATATCTTGATGGTTATAGTAATTGATAATCGAATCGAGCTATCCATCTAGCAATCAAAAACAACAAAAATAAAATAACTGTGAACATTACCGTCACAATATTGTTGTCGAATGTGGCAAAAAAAATGAAGAAATGAAAATGTTTTCATGTGATTCATGTTCTCGGTGTATTACTGATTGATTTTTTTGGATAAGATTTTATATTTATATTCGTATCATACATTTCAATCATAACAATTTTATTTTCCCTCCAGAAAAAACAAGTAAAGATTCAAGTTTTAGGATAAACAATCTTTTTTGATTGTTAAAAACAATTCTATTGGAATCGTATCATAATGTCAGTTACGGATTTTGTTCAGAGCTACTTTGAAATGATGATGAATATAAATAAATTTTCTAATCATTTCATTTCTCATCGAATCATATGTAAGTGTATGTGAATTTGTATGTGATGGTGTGATTGACATTTTTTGTTGTTGTTGTTATTTCGGCCATTTTGAATTTCATTCCAATTTATTTATTCATTTTATCATTAATCGTCAATCAACGAATGTGATGTTGTTGTTGTTGTTTTAATTGAAATTCTATTGGTTCAATGAATTCATTTATTGATTGTATAAAATAAACGACAACATCCATATGATAGTAGTTTGATTTCATCATCATCTATATTCATCAAAGTGTATTCCTGTATTAGAATAAATTCAATGAATGTTATTTGAATAGAAATAAAAGTTCATTCAACTAATTTAGTAGTTAATCATAAGTATGGCTGTTTTGTTCATACAAACAATTGCTATTTTGAACAAAGATCATCATAAGATAATAAAGAGAATTGAAACAAAATTGAAATAATTTTGAGATTGCCTAATACAAAAAGGAACATGAAACTCATAAAGGAACCAGCACACATTCACAATGTTGAAAAGAATTTGATTTAATTATTTTTCAAATTTGATGATGATGATGATACTGATCATGATGATAATCAAAAAAAATTGGTAAATAATAACGGACCATAGAAATGAAACGTTGCCTTATAATTTATACACACACATTCTATAAATTGAATTTCAAATAATTTTCTTTTTTTCTATCTCTTGGATTCTCAACAGAAATAAAAATTGGACACGTAAAACAAAACAAAATGAAATGAAATAAAAAAAAAATATAAAATAAATACAAAAAAACAACAACAACAGCAGTTGAAACAATTTTTGACTTTGTATTCTTTTGTTTTAATTTTTTGTTTTCGATTTCGTTTTTTTTCATCTTCATTTTCTTTATTATATTTTTGGTTGAATGAAAAACTATCTATCTATCGGTTAGCTAGACTCATTATTTTCAAATGAAAAACGATAATCAACCAACTGCCAAACAGAAAACAAGACAGTGTTGAAGAAATAATAACAAACGAAAAAAAATGTGAAACGGATTCGGAATTTGTTTCAAATGTGTAGCGAAAAAAACGAAAACGAAGGAAACAAAATCGAAATGAAATGACATGAGATGAGCATTGAAAAACAAAAATTTTCCTCTGTTTTTCTTACAGATACTGTGTGTGTTTGTGTGTGTTGATATATAATAACTATTTGTGAAATGAAATTCTTGTTTCCGCGAAAAAAATAAAGGCTTCAGATCTTATTCACACACACACACATCACATATATAAATGTCTTTGGCATCAGCATTTTCTATCATTTTCTTGTTTTATTTTGGCTTT